TCACAAATAATTGACCTTTACTAATGCAGAATTATTGTGTAAAAAATGTATACCTAATGAACAGCAACTTGTTATTCTGTTTTTGATTTTTCTTCTTACGTTTAAACCAATTTTGCTTGATCGCTTGCCGTGATCGTCTGGTAAACTGCCATGTTTTAATAAGCCCACTTGTATGAACAATCTTATTTTTCATTTCTGCTAACTTTAGCGCCTAAGCACTGTTCGAAGAAGCTGTATAGGATGATCAAAAACTGTCACCAGGTATATGACGTGCTTTTTTGTTGCTGAGCATTTAGTTACTGCCTTTTGGACTTCGATAAACTTTTTGTTCAACACAAATGCCATTAGTTTGTATTTCTCCTGTCAACTTCGTGTTCAACTGTTCTCCATATATTTCTGTCAATGTTGGTCTCCAATTTTTCTAAATAGCTTTATTCCAATTGACTTCTCTAATTTTTCTTCTTTGATAAGCAGAAAAACCAACGATAATCAAAGATTTGCAGACAGTTCTTTTTTGTAATGAAGTGAACTAGCTTTGTGGAGGGGAAAAAAAAAGCTTCCCTTTCTTTTGCTATTTATGATGATTAAAATGAGTTTAAATGACGAAGTTTTTTTTAAAAATAGATCACTGAAGAATCGTCAATAAAACAGCTAATTTTTTTTTTTAATTTAACTTTAATTGATGGTTTTTTTTTCTGTTTCTATTTATTCTACTTTTACAACTATCTTACTTTGACCTGTTCACTAAGAATATATAATATTTTGTTGGTTGCAATCAACGATAATCAAAGTAAAATGTTGTTTAACTGCTGTACAATTACAACTGCTGTATCAGCTTGTTGTCCAGCAGTATCCAAATTGATTTTAAACTCCCAACTATTACTGCAGCAACAGCTTATAGAATTGAAATGTACATTTTGCCTAATATTCCTATAAATTTTTAAAATTTTTTTTCATTTTTATAATTTCTTTTGTAGCTAACAAAATTTGAAAAGCTCTTTAGGTTTCAAGAATTACTTTTTTTTGACAGCAAACAAAGTTGTTGATAGCGGATAACAAATGAATTTTTTTGGCTACAACTATTTTAAATTATCTGCTTTTAAATACTCCAAATGATTAACAATGATGTAAGTCAGAATCAACAAGACTAATAAATAAACTATGGTGTTTGTTGAAATATATATATATATATATATAGAAGATAATTAATCAAACT